CTTTCTTCACCTTCTTCCATCTTAATTATTGAGTTTTAGTTGGTTTCATAGATGTAGAATGATTGTATTAGGATAGATGACCAAGTACTGAAGGTTAGGGCACGATTCATTGAGTTCCATGGCAGGTGCATAAATCTTTAATTTTCAAGAATTGGTTGTTTAATGAGTTTTAGGCAGCATGAATTAGGTTAGGATGACCAGGATAACATCAAGAGTATCTGTAAATCATTAGACTGAAGTTTAATGAAGGTTGATATCAGTTGAAATTTTGAACCATGGTCGTACCAAGACATTGAAGCCTTCTGTTGGGATTATTGAGAGCGAATCAGGAAAAACTAATCGTACCATTTTATTCTAGGCATTTAGTAGATCATTTTTTGTTTTCGAATCATGTGAAACCATGGCGTGTGGAGAGAGTTAGAGGAGCTCGAAGGTGTGAGTGCATGAGGGAGGGTTCTGCAAACCCTAGTTTGTTTGGAGAAGACGAAAGGAGAGCCCTAGGATCAGTCTCAAATGTTGACAATTTATTTAGATCCAACGGCGCTGATTTAATCTGAGAAAGAGAGGGAAAATTTGAATTTAATCCCAAACGCTGCGTTTCATTAAACCAGCGCTGGGCTCAATGTTCTATCCCCACCCCCCTTATTGCTGGCCCATTTATTTTGAACTAACGCGCCTTACTATCTGTACCCCCCCTCCCTTAATTCATTTTAATTGTTTTATTTTTCTTCTTTTATTTTTCTGTTTTGTTTAATGCATTAAAAATAGATAAAAAATGATTTTTTAATTCTTCTTTTTTCTATGATTAGATGAAAATGTGTAGAAAATTATAAAAATAAAAATGAGATTTTATTTTTAGGTTTAATATTTTTAATAGATTTTCCAATTAAGTAGCTTTTATATTGTTTAATTTGGTATTTGATTTTGTAGGAATTGTTTTAGAACCTTCCCTTAGGTTTTTTAATCCATTCTTTTTTGTGCAATTAGATGATGAATCATAGTTCCCCATAGGATTTTTTCTAGATTTTTAGAATTAAATTTTGATTAGTTTAATTAGGGTAGATCTAGGGTGTCCTAATTAGGGTTTAGATTGTGCTTAGGTGATGATTTCCTTTCTTTGATTGAGTTTTATCTTGATTTTTAGGTAGAGGCCTATGTAGATGTTATGAGTAGGTGTTGAGGACCCTTGTGAATAATTGTTGGATTTTTCCCCATTAGTTTAGTATTTTTAGGTATTTTCTGAAGTTGCCTATTGATTTTGTCTCCCCTGTGGTTATCTGTTCATCTTTGGGGTTCATTCTGAGGAATTTGTTGAGGGGCTTGTGTTGCCTTGAAGACCTTGATGGAGAGCATCATGAAGTGAAGATTGAAGATCAAGACTCAGAGACCCAGAGCTTGGTTTGTTCCCTGTCTGTGAGGCTTGAGATCCTGAAGTTTGAAGGAAGTTCATGGTACTTTCCTGAGGAAGGCACTATGAATGACTTTCATTCCTTCTTCTCACCTCTTTCTCAAGTATCCAATGATGTTGGAGCCAACTTGTGAGTTTAATTTCTCCTGAGGAGGAATGTAAATTGATCACTTGTTGTTGAGCCACATGGGATACAATTCCTAAGTGGAAGCCTCCTAGTACTTTCCTGAGGAAGGTCCTATGGGTCTATTCACTTAGTTCCATTAGTTTATCTAGGATTTCTCAAGTATCCAATGATGTTGGAGCCAGCTTGTGAGTTTAGTTTCTCCTGAGGAGGAATGTAAACTGATCATATGTTGTTGAGCCACATGGGATACAACTCCTAAGTGGAAGCCTCCTAGTACTTTCCTGAGGAAGGTCCTATGGGTCTATTCACTTAGTTCCTCTAGTTCATATAGGATTTTCTAAATATCCAGTGATGTTGGAGCCTGCTTGTGAGTTTAATTCCTCCTGAGGAGGAATATAAACTGATCACAGTGGTTGAGCCACATAGGGTATGACTCCTGAGTAGTCACCTCCTAGTGCTTTCCTGAGGAAGACACTATGAGTCTGCTTGCTTAGCTCCCTGTCTTTGGTAAGCTTGTTCTGAAGCTTGAAGGCTGGGATTGATTTCTCTTGTTTAGGGTTCTGCTTGAGAGCTGTGTTTAGATTTGTTCAGATTCTGTGATTAGGGTTAGGACTAGAGAATAGATGATTCTTTCTCAAGTGTGTTTGTTTGCCTGATGGCACTTCCCTTCTTTTATCTGTTATTGCTTGATAGCATGTTGTTTATTTTCAGTATGATTACTGTTATTTCATGACTGGCTTGAGGTCGAGACGAGCTTGTGGAGGCTGAAGCCCCACACACATTTCCTCCCTCACTTGCATTGCATGCATTTTACTGTTAAAGCTGATGCTTTTGTCTGTTTCTGTGTATCATTGACATGATCCCTTAGGACTCTCATGTCCTTTGATAAGGATTTGATGATAGACTTTTAGGTTGAAACCTATGCATGACAACATCTAGGAGTTCCCTGTTCAAACCTCAACCATAGGATGAATCCATGGCATGATAACAGTAGGACTTGATAGTCTCCCTCCTAGTTGGGCCATTTTTCCCGTAGTTTCCCGAACTACGTTTGCTCTGATCTTTCATATCAGATGAAAGTACGTAGGCATAGGATGCGATATCCTAGCGAGCAACCTTCCCCATAATCCCCCGTAGTTAGCCGAACTACGTTGACTCTGATTTCTCATTCTCTGATGAGAATACGTAGGCATAAAGCGCGACGCTTTGCCGAGTCATTTTTCTTTTCTTTTTCAGCCAGCCTTGATAGGTAGATAGATTATGACCAACCCGTCCAAGTAAACAAACAAGCGAGGATCCCGTCGAGTACGACGGACGTGAGGGGTGCTAATACCTTCCCCTTGCGTAACCGACTCCCGAACCCAGACAATGGTTGCGATGACCTTGTCTTACCCTTTTTCGTCAGGTTTTTCCGATCGTTTCCTTTCCCGCTCCGAGGGATAAATAATGAAAGGTGGCGACTCTTCTGTCATGCCGGCACCTTATTTTCGCGCAAGCGACACAGGTGAACGTGAGAGCCTGTCATGCATGTACTCTGAAAGAAAGTAAGCTGAAGGAAAATACTCGCCTAGAGCTCGCACAGCGAGCCGTGAAGGCTTTTGCTAATGCCATTATTTTTCCAGCCTCGCTCAGAGTTCGCACAGTAAACCCGAAGCGAAAGGTCTCGCCTGGCCTTCGCACTAAGAACATGGCTGAGTTTTCAATTTTTATTTTAATGCTTGATTGGCTATTTCCTATTCATGTGTTTGGTTACTATATCTTGCTTACAATGATTATTGCGACTAATATGCATGTGGATTTGTGAATGGTGGATTGATTAAAAAGATGATTATGTGATTAAAAAGAATTAAGGAGAGTGAGGAAAACTTATCACAATCTAATGGAATGACCTGGAGATGTAACTAGGAGTTGATAGATAATTTAGATGACAAAGCTTGTGCATTTGATGCCTAGGTGTGCATCTTTGACAAGTAGTTGTCTAGTGGAAAGTTGAGACACTATATGGAACATGAGTTAGTTTTGTGTTACTTTGAGAATAAGGCGTATGTGGCCTTGTGATTGTCGAATACAATTACATTTGTGTGGGATCACTTAGGCGGAACCAATCTTTTTAGTTGTGACATTCCACGAGTGGAAGCTTATTTAGAGAACTCCTCTAGAATGTATTCATTAGTACTTTGACAAGTTTGATCCCCATTGCACGAATGGAGCCTACGAGTAAAGATACTTGTGATGGGGTACGGTCCATGAGAAGTGACGATTCAATGAAGTATGTGTCTCTTGGATCCGAATTCATTTCCTATGTCAAGGTTTGCAAGGATCCATGACCCGCGCTGAACTCTTACACGTAGGAGAGGATGGGAAAGTGGAATTCCTTGGTCAGGTTTCCGATTAGTGATAGTTTGAGTTGTTGAACTCAAGAGACATGTTTTCATATAGTGTGAGGTTGTGAACTAAAGTCTTGTCCCTTCCCTTTTGACTTGAGCTAGGATTGGTAAGAACCTTGTAAAGCCAAGAGGATTCATAAGATAGGGAATTCAGTGGGATTATTATCTTACCTCGTGTTGTTGATTATATTTCAGGTGGTTCAGGTTCCATGAAGGGTAAGGACAAATTTGTTTGATGTCCTTACTTGTCTTAGCACTTTTAGATGACATTGTTTCAGCTATGAAGACTCCATTTTGAGATCATCGATATGATCTAGTTCTTTGTTGTTTTGGACATCTTGTATATATTTATGCCACATATAGTATTTTAGTATTTTGGGCGTATAATATGTATAATGTGTCACTAAAAACTTATGTATATTTTAATATCGAATTTTGCAACTATGTATAATATGATTTATTCTAGATATATATTTTATGTGGGTGTTACAAATTTTATCTGAGTTCCGAAGATACTCTAAAATTACATTCTAGTGTTTGTTTCAATTAATTCTAAAACAAGCATTTTTATTCTGATTTTAAACAAATATTTGTAACGACATTTTTGCATAGTAATAACTAAAATATAAAGAGTGCATTAAGAATTTCCCTAAATTTTCACTATATATTACAAAATTTTAACTATATATTACAAAAAGAGCTTCAATAACGGATAATAGAGGTCGAATATCAGATGCAAATAGAGATGTAAGAATAGAGAAATCATATTCAACAAGAAATGAAAATCCTACCACATATGTAATTAAACTTTGCTCGAGAGGCTTGAAGAGATGTGTATTGTAATTTGATACAATTTATCATTAGTAAATTATAAATTTTTTAATTTAATTAATGTTCACTTGATACAACACGTGCAATATGTCGATACAAGTACTAATGGAATTTTTTCTAAGGTTACGTCTACTGAAATTTTAATAAAAGGAGAGGTCAGATCCAGCCATGAAATACTTATGTTATCAAAAATCCACAAGTCTCTTGGTAATATAGAAATGCATAAATGCATATTTTAGCTAAAGACTTATGATTTCACAAATCCTAGTTCAGCTTCCAAATCTACCTCTTCAAGTTCTTCTGCTATCAACAAGTCTCTTGCAGCATCAAGATTTAACTCGAGAGTATTTATCCTTGAGGTAACTCTACGCATTTCTAAGTCTAAAGCTACCAAAGTATCCTTGTGCGTCTCCATTTCCAATTCTAGAGCTATCACATTATCCTTTAGCTTTTTTGCCTCCTCCAATTTCATCAAATAACTTCTCATTCCTAAGGCTGAATCAACATGAGGCTTTAGCCATGTCAAATCAAAACTGAAGTGCTGAAGTTCCTCCCAGATAATTTGAAGATTCTTGCAAGCAAAGTCATTCATATCTTTCACCTTTTTAGTCTTAAGGAAATAAAGAATTCGTCCCAAAGCACTGAATGCCCATTCTCTATACCTGCGACTCCTTTTCTGCTGAGACACAATAAGTGAAGGGTGCAGAGAACACACTTCCTCTAGTAATGGAACAAAAGCTTTATCTATTTATCCTAAACCCTTGAAATCCATAAACTCGTCTATGGTATGGAATTTTTTGAACTTCTCAACACAAGACTGCTCATGCTCCATAATTCCAATCTATATAACTAGCGCCGTCCAGAGCAACTACTTATATAGAGGTATAGGCTAATAGGAGTAGTTCTTTTGTTTTGTTTTGAGTAGCTAGCAACAGAAGCGTTAAAATTAAATTACCAGAGAGAATATTGGAGGAATACCAATACTGTATTTTTATTGCCCACGTTTTAGTTTAATTAATGCATTTAATTTTGTTTTGTTTTTCGAGACCATATGAGAGTGATTAAATTAGTGATTGATGATATTCCTATGTGTTACTCTCGAAACAATTTGGTTTGATCAAAAGTCGTTTCTGTAACAAAGAAGCAAGTTTGCTTCTGATATACTCACATTTAGAAAGATTCTAAAAAGACAATTTGTTGCTGCTATAATATTTTTTTAGATTCTGCCTCTGAGCGTGGCTCTAATATTTTACTTTTGAAGTCGTTATCTTTTAAAGACTAAGTGCTGAAGACTCTAAAGACAAAGTTCTGATGAACGAAGTTCTGAAGACTCTAAATACTTAAGTTTTTGAAGATCAAGGGTTCTGAAGACTGAGTGCTTAAAGTTCTTAAGATAAAGTTCTGATGAACAAGTTCTGAAGATTCAGAAGACTTAAGACTCTGAAGACCTCGTGATCTACTATTGTATGCATGCTTCAATCATCTATATTCAGAAGTCTCTGATGTACAGAAGATAAGATCAAAAATTTACGAGGAAAAATAGTACATAGTACGTATCAAAACGTTTCATTCCACTACCCTAATTTGGTGGTACAAAGGACAACTTTTGTGTATGATTTTCATCCATGCGTAATGACATTCCTTCGAGAAGTCAACTCATTTAAGGATATTCCTGATGTGTCCTCCAATGGATCTTTTACTGGCTTTATAAGGAATTGACCACTTGAAGAAAATTAACAACAACAAGAAGAAGAACAATGAAATATACAAGAACAGTAGTGAAGAAATACAACGCAGAATAATGTTCATACTATGCAAGTTTTCTTTAAGTCATTTGTGATATTCATAGTGTTTATATTTGCTTGTGTAGAAGCAAATGTAAGCGGAAATATTCATGGATATTATATGAGATTAAAACATCAATACTTACTTGTTGAAGTCATGATTCAGAATTCCGAATGGATGAATGACCAGATCTTCCTCTGTATCTCACACTCCCGTTCACAACTTTCAATGGGGCAAGTTATGGAGCCGTCAGTTATGTTTCTGATGCTTTTTGTGATTACAGAGGGGACCTAGCCATATAATATATATAACCTTAGTCCCTACCCATTATGGGCCCAAGGTTAAAGCCCACACTTTTACCCACACCAATTAGGTTTCAGATACTCAACCATTAATTAAAAATTGATCACTTAATCAATTAAAGGGTTTATATATGCACCCCCATCAGAATCACGATTAACCCGTTTTTTACAAATTAAACCACAATTGATTGTAGCCCATAAAATATTAGATAAATCTAACATTCTCCCACTTGGGCAAAATCAATTGTATGATTTTTATTTTAAAATACATTTTGAAAACGACTCTCGGGTTAATGACTAATTCCTTAAAATGCGGCCGCATTTTAAGGAAATCCATGATTCCAGGTGCAGTATCTGAATATGACTCCATCCAACAAAAGTTAAGCAGTATTGAATCACGACGATTATTATGTCCTTCATTGACATAAAACCTTTCGTGGTTACAAATACTACATACTCCGTCAACTAGTCATCAGTGTGGAGTGTGGCAAGAAAATAACATGCTAATGTGATCCAACAACCATTTGCTATTTTCTTCGTCAGTCCTTAACAATTTCTCTCAAATGCATTAAACACAAAGAAATTGTATGGTTTTACAAACCATAATGCCTCAGCTCCAACATGGCGTCGACCACCGGCACAGTGGTCCTGACAACGCCGAGCTTAAAATCATACTTCAGCTCCAATATGGCATCAACCACCGGTATAGTGGTCCCGAAGACACCGAGCTCAAAATAATAACCATGCCTTGAACTCCAAACTAGTGTCGACCATAGGCACAATGGTTTCGATGACACTGAGTCCCAAATTTAGCAATTTAAATGTAAATAAACAATGACAAATGATAATAATAATAATAATCATTGTAATATCAATTGCTTAAAAAGAAAATACTCGACAATCCAACATTTAAAGTGTCTAAAATAAAATATAACATGATAAAAGAAAATGACATAAAGAACAAACTCCCACTAACCAAGTACATCAAAAGAACTCACAATGCCCATGTTCTCAACATGGTTTTTGAACACAATGGGTCTAAGTCCCTTAGTTAGGGGATCAACTAGCATGAAATCAATACCAATGTACTCAACAACAATGTCATTTTTCTTTACAAGATCTCTGACTGTTAAATACTTCAATTCCAAATGCTTTGAACCGCTAGAAGTTTTATTATTCTTGGAGTAGAACACAGCTGAACTATTATCACAGTAAAGCTTTAGTGGCTTTGCAATGGAATCAACAATACGAAGTCCAGTTACTAAATTTCTTAACCAAACAGCATGAGTGGCAGCAGCATAACAAGCAACAAACTCTGCCTGCATAGTAGAAGAGGCAACAAGAGTTTGCTTTTTACTCTTCCATGATATCGCGCCTCCAGCCAACATAAAAATGTAACCAGAAGTAGATTTTCTATCATCAACACATCCAGCAAGATCAGAGTCAGTATACCCAACTATTTCCAAGTTGTCAACTCTCCTAAAAACAAGCATACAATCTTTAGTTCTTTGCAAATATCTCATCACTTTCTTAGCTGCAATCCAATGATCATTCTCAGGATTAGACTGGTATCGTCCCAAGACGCCAACTATGAAAGCAATGTCAGGCCTAGTGCATACTTGAGCATACATCAGGCTGCCCAATGCACTGTCAAAGGGTTTTCCCTTCATCTCTGCCCGCTCAATCTCATTTTTAGGACATTGATCTTTACTGAATTTGTCTCCTTTAGTAATTGGAACACCTCCTGGCTTACAGTTCTGCATATTAAATCTCTCTAGAACTCTATCAATATAAGCTCTCTGTGACAAGCCAAGCACACCACGTGATCTATCTCTGTGTATTTCAATTCCCAATACAAAAGATGCTTCACCAAGGTCCTTCATATCAAAGAACTTGGTTACCATAAGTTTGGTCTCATGAAGTAGACCAAGATCACTACTTGCGAGCAAAATATCACCAACATATAACACAAGAAAGATGAATTTGCTCCCACTGACCTTAAGATAGATGCACTGATCAACTTTATTTTCTTCAAAACCCAATGAAGTTACCACCTCATCAAATTTCAAGTACCATTGTCTAGAAGCCTGTTTCAAACCATAAATAGATTTTCTTAATTTACAAACCAAGTGCTCATCACCACATTTTACAAAACCCTCTGGTTGTTGCATGTACACCTCCTCATTAAGATCACCATTCAGAAAAGCAGTCTTAACATCCATCTGATGCAATTCTAAGTCAAAATGTGCCACAAGGGCCATAACGATTCTAAAAGAGTCTTTAGTGGAAACAGGAGAAAAGGTTTCATTAAAATCAATACCCTCCTTTTGTGTGAAACCTTTAGCCACAAGTCTTTCCTTAAACCTCTCAATTTTACCTTTCGAGTCCTTCTTTGTTTTGAATATCCACCTGCATCCAATCGCTCTATAGTTTCTTGGTAACTCCACTTGTTCCCAAACATCATTATTTATCATGGATTTCATTTCATCATGCATTGCATCTGTCCACATGCTAGATTGAGAACAAGTAATAGCTTCTAGATAATTTTTAGGATCAATAACAATACCAACATCATAAGCATCCTCACTAAGATAAACTACAAAATCATCAGGGATAGCAGGTCGCTTTTGTCTTACTAACCTTCTAACATGAATTTGCTCAACTGGCTCATTAGGTTGTTCAACCTCAGTTATAATAGGAGGATCCACTACATTTTCAACAAGTGGTTCAACCACATCTTCAACTGGATGTTCAGCCACATTCTCATTTGGAGCAAAACCTCCAGGAGTCGTGGATGATCTAGCATTATCAAAATTAGGAAGTGACAAAGTAACAAAATCAGGCATAACACAATTAATATTATCAGATTCGGTGACAAGCTCAGCAACATCAAGCTCAAGGAATTTTGCATGCATGGACTCCACAATTTTATTTCCTCTACCATGACAAAAGAATTTGTATCCTTTAGATCGATCCGGATATCCAATAAAAAAACAACGACTTGTTTTTGGGTCAAGCTTTGTCTCAAAAGGATTATATATTTTAACCTCTGCAGGACAACCCCAGACACGGAGATGATTCAAACTGGGTTTTCTACCTGTCCAAAGCTCAAAAGGTGTTTTTGGAACTGATTTACTAGGAACTCTATTAAGTATATAGAGGGTTGTTTTCAAAGCGTCACCCCATAAAAATTCCGGTAAATTACTCCTACTCATCATGCTTCTCATCATATCTTTAAGGGTGCAGTTTCTCCTTTCAGCTACACCATTCTGTTCAGGAGTACCAGGCATGGTGTATTGTGGAACAATTCCACAATCTTGCAAGTATTTTGCAAAAGGTCCCATGTGTTGCCCAGTAGAATGATATCTACCATAATACTCTCCACCACGGTCAGAACGTACCACCTTTATCACTTTTCCTAGTTGCTTTTCAACCTCAGTTTTAAAATTTTTAAACTTTTCAAGTGCTTCTGATTTTCCCTTAATCAAGTAGAGATAGCCATACC